CCCTCCTCCAAGCACACCAGGCTCCGCAGAACAACATCATCCTCGCTGAATCGGATGACAACGACCTCGAGGACCTCGGCGAAGAAGATGTTGAACAGTCGATTTGACTCCAAATATTTGGAAACTTTGGAACAAAAAATTGGAAACGTTTAAAACGGGTCTTATCCCAAACAGCCTTAACCGACGGCTGGGTCAAATTTTGGTCGTCGGCCTTTGCTGAGTTGCCCTCGAAGACCAGAGAAAAAGACCATTTGGTCTTGGCTCAGCTTGCTCTTTGTGGGCAAGTTTCTGGCAAGTTTCCTTTTACCCCGAAGCACCAGCAGCACGCGAACTTGCGAAGGCATTGATTCCGCGATTACGCCCGTGCAAGCCTCATGGTGACTCCGTCGGGGTACCGGAAGACCGTGAGGCAGACGGCTCTTCACCAGAGGGCTGGTGCGATGCACGCGGCGGACATGGTGGAGCTCAGTTACTGGGACACAATCATCTGTTTCCACCTCCTGTTCAGCGAAGCCGTGAAGCACCCGGTGATGCTCCTCGAGTACGGAGAGGAGGGGGCTGCGGACGGAGACAGCGAGGCAGAGAATGAGGCCCGCTTCATGGAGTTCGGGATTATGCGGTAACCATAATGGTGGTAGAGTAGATGATGTTGTGCGAGGTCGAGAACCCTCACTCCGCGCAAGGGGGATGATCGCACTACGTTGTGTTAAAATGGTCAAGCACCCTTGAGGCAGTTACACAGTGCTTACAACTGTCTCTGGAAGTGAAAGCACCAGAAAATAAATTAAGTCGTACGCAGCTGTCATCCGTACGCAAGGAAGTAAGCACAAGATGCCGAACACCCTTAGCAGGATGCAGCGCACCCTTCATGTGACTCGCCGAGCATCTCACGGAGCTTCGCGCTTGGTGATGTGAGAGCCTGGTCCGGTGAGAACCACCTTTCTTTTGCTATACTTCGCAGATAGGAATTACTTGTACGTGTTTCTTTTGTGTTGGTCTATGAACATGTAGAGGCAGAGTGTTCAGCATGCGGGAAAGACACAAGGCACCCTCTGTACATTTATTTGTTGTTGAGACTTTTCCCACAAACTTCGGATGGTACAAGAAGCTTGCTGGTTAACTGGAATGCATTCCATATAGGAACTACTCCCCGGTTGCCCACCCTAAGGTGCTTCTTCTTTCCTCTACCTTCATGTGACTGCTGCAATACGACGCACACATGAAACGGTCAAGCAGGTTTCTGCAATACGGCCTTTAGTCCCACGAATCGTCGCTTTTTCCCAGTTTAGCGACCGCTAGTCGCTATTGAGGCTCCCGGTTNGTCGCTAAACCGGGTTTTTAAGCGACATACCCTGAATAGTGACCATATTTCGTCGTGACACATTATGGGTCGCTAAATCGGGGCCCGCACTGTAATGAACAGATCGAATCGCGGGGCGATTGCGCCGCGTCTGTCTACCCTTGGGTGGAAAGCGCTACTAGGGGCAAGCGCGGAAGAAGTAATAGCCCACCGTTGATAGGAGGCACCGGGCAACCTAGGGCTTGGGTTAGAAGGTCTCGCAATCCCTCTGGAGAAATATCTTGAATACCTCCTTTTCGTCCTTCTTCTACCACTCTCCCGCCAGTTGCTGTCTATAATCCCTATCAAACGTCCCCTCGATAATCGAGGGGACAATTGATAGGGATTATCGACAAGAGACGGCTCAAGTGAGAAGGAAGCTTTGCACTTGCACCCAGGGATGGAACTGTCTGCACCATCCAATCAGCAGGCACCGTTCGCTCTTTTTCTTACATTTCAGAAATTTCGCAAGAACGCCGAATTTTCTTTGCGTGGTAAGAGGGTTGAGAATGATCGATACGCGACACATGGCAGAAATGAGATGCTCAAGTACTTGGTTGATTGCCATTGCGTTGTCACAAATTTGTCTCGCCACCTTCACTTCGTTAGAGACGCGAACGATTTTCCAGCCTTGATGAGGCATACAACTGTAGTCCAGAAGGGAGAATAATCTTCGTCCTTTGGCGAATTAACATAATAAATGGACTAGTCTAGACTATTAATGGACGTGCGTGCGACGTTGTCCTTACTTGGCTCGTTACTTCTTCATCTGCACCTTCGTATGACTGCTGCAATGAGACACATGGCCCTATCAAGATGAGCTCTCGACGCTGCTCTTCTAGGGCAAAAATGGGCTTCTTCCCGATTAGCGGTTCATGACCGCTATTATTGAGCCTCCTAGTTTGCGGTTAATGACCGCTAAAGTGGTTTAGCGGCGATGCCCTGAATAATGTAGCGGCTATAAAATTTCGTGACAATATGGACCGCAAAACCGGGTCCACGACTGTATGGCGTTCTCGTCCTAGCCAGCTCTGGCGTGTCCGCCTCGTCTCTTACACACCGAACATTGTTCTTTACCTCTTCTGGAGAGAAAGAAGGCCCTCAGAAGAAGCCCCCAGAATGCGCCGCAGGATGGGGGTTAGGGTTAGGGCACTCCATCCCGGCGCCCCCCGACAAAACCTAACACAGAACCAATGGTATATATATGACAAAAACAATAAACACTTGGATGCTGACAGAAGAGCGCATATAGTAAAAATAGTATAGGAGAGGAACGCAGAGCTACGCGAGCCTACCCGTGGTTTTCAAATTATGCAGGCGTGCATGGAGCAACCCGGGGACAGTTTAGGCCGCCTTTCCGCCCCACTTTCATCACGCTCGCATGCGACAACCGGGGTGGAGCCCGCTGTCGTACTCGCAGGGCAGGACCACACCATCACAAGGGAGGTTATTTGCCAGGACAGCGCGGTATCTATTCACGGTGATTCCTTGTGTCATGACCGTGAGGCCAAGACCCCGGGGTAGGTGCGAGCCGAAATCCGACTTACCCGCACGTCGCAGGCGGGTCTGCCTCGCTGGAGTGGGGGCACTTCCTTCCGTCGCGTGTGCCGTCAGTACATGTCTCAGGCTCTCTTGGGAAGAAATCTGTTTGGAAAATGGTCTCGTGTACGCAGATCACTCGTCACAAATGCGGACAATGATCTCATCCGCAAGCGAGGGACCCTCTCCCAGAGGCAGCAGCAGCAGCAGCGTTTGTTTTGTGTTTTAACGCACAATGCATACTCGTATTTTTCGCCTCGGATTTTAATCCAGACCACCACCGCGCGCAACGCCAGATCACGCCGATGACGAACAGACCAAGCTAATGACTTCCAGCATGCCCTCGGGTTCAACCTTGATGCTGTTGGGTAGCGACCACCGAGTCCAATTCAGCGCAAGACCGACATCTCCAAATTCGCCGCCGCTGCCAGAGGCATGTGGTGGACCTGGCTGTGGCTATTCATGCCGTACCTGTTTCCAGTTCGGTGACGGCCTCGCTCTTGAGGAATAGTGGAATTAGTTGTTCTACCTCCCGTAAGATACAGAAGCGCAGACCCACGAAACAGTTTAAATAATTTTTTCCCTCTCTATCTCTTCCCCTCCCCCTTCCCCCTCCCAGAGGTGCCGATATGGAATGGATGCGGAGCGCCGTTTTCGGCGAGGACACCCTATCACCTGTCAGGGTTACTATGAGGCTGTTTATGGTGAGAAATTATCGCGGAAAATGTTGATGGCGTTCATTGTCGTGTTGTAGTCCAAAACACTGCGCAATATTTTTCTCTCCGTCTTCGTTCTCTTGAATTGCCCAACTGGTGCGGGGACTTCGCGCCTACTTCCCCCACCTGTCTCAACACACATTACTTACATGGTTGCGGTCATCGATGTATTGAGTCGTCTCCGCAACAGCAGTAATCGCCACATAGATCGCGCCGTTCGTTACGCTTTGGGCATTATTCTCACACACTGATGACAGGCGGGCGGCGAGGAGAAAGAGGACAGCGATGATGCAGGAACACATCGCCAGATGCATCCAGGGCGCAAAAGTAAGCTGAAGCCTGGGATACTTCAGAGTCGAACGAGTCTCAGCAGTGACTACTAGAGTGCATTTTCTGTGTTATCTTTTCATACTTTTTCTGCTGGGTGTAGCCCCGTCGGTGATGACCGCTTGATGTATCGCCCTGTTCATACTCCGACGTCATTTCCACAAAGTTGAACTCTCCGGATGCTCCCAACGAAAACAGAGTGCGGCTGCGTCATATTGTTCCCCCCTTGTGCTCTCGAATGCTATTTGGCGCAAGGGCGCCGAGAGGACTCCGACGATGAGGAGAATGGCGACGACACGGAGGGTTCGGACGAAGAGGCGGAGCGCGACAAGGACATGGTCCGCGATATGCATAATGCCGCCGCGGAATATGGTGATGTTCGGGTGAGATCGCCATGTAGATCGTTGCCTGCTCGCGCAGTTCAGACATAGTACGAAGTATCAGCCGATGTATCCAGTTGGCGTGGACTCGCAGAGTCGTATCAGCTTTCGTCGTTTAGTTGAACGACTGATCAACATCGCAACGAGGGCCTATTGGTTACAAGCTGTTCACCCGGGTATTTTGTGTTTGTCCACGGCCGTCTGGATGACGATGCGGCAGGATGACGATAGCTCCGTACAAAATCTTTGGGTTTACGTGCGGAGCCAAATCGCGAGCGGTCTTCGCGGAGGCCTAGACGGCGTCAAGAGGAAGGTGTGGGAGAGGGTGGACCCCCTCTTCTTCGAGGGGCGTAGACGCTGGCTTGGCCCGCTTTGGAAGAAGGTCGAAGATCTTGCCCCGACCACGCGCTTGATTTCCGACGCTTGGAACGGCCACGTTGACGGAGTCGCCGCCTTCGAACACCGTAAGGCTGATACTAAGGCGGCGACTGCGTCCACCTTGACCCTCAATGCTGGCTGGGAGGGTAGACTCCGGGCGTGGATAAGTCAGCCGGAAGTGTTGGAGGCAGGGTTGCGAGACTACCAGGAAGAGAAGGAGTTGCACTACCTATCCTGCATCATCAATCACGTGGAGGAGGTGGGTTGATACGGTAGTCAGTTAGAGAGTTGGGCATTTGTGGAATGGTTTGCGTGTCATTCCGCATCCGTGTGTAAACAAGTCAAAACTTCCATCCTTCTGCATCTGCACGTTACTGCGGTGATTGTACGTTTGACAGAGTGCGCCGGGTGTTTATTTCTGGTAGGGATAGGTGTGTTGGAGCTACCACCAATTCCTGGCGCTCGGGTCTAGAATCAACCATCCTATTTCATCTTGTTAATGTGTATTCCACGACCAAGTAGCTGAGGTACTCTCCCCATGCCCGCGCTCCTCTGATCGAACCGTTCCCCATCCCCTCCCCTTAATGCAGGAGTTGTACAAGGTGTACGTGAAAGAGCGCAAGGATTCCGTGGCCGTGGAGCTCTCTTACCCGAGTGAAAGGTANCCCCATGCCCGCGCTCCTCTGATCGAACCGTTCCCCATCCCCTCCCCTTAATGCAGGAGTTGTACAAGGTGTACGTGAAAGAGCGCAAGGATTCCGTGGCCGTGGAGCTCGCTTACCCGAGTGAAAGGTACAGATCACAAAACCGCGCGGTCAAGTCCTGTATTACATTGCCGGGTGGGCGGCCAGCAAGGCTTGGACGCATCAAAGAAGACACAACCTTTCCGAGGATTGGGTGCGTGTCGTCCAACAGAACACTCGCCGGTCCAGTGGGGAGGCGATGTTTACTGATTCTATGCTGAGAGATATTGTAGCAAAATTCGATTCGAAGAACGATACGAAGAACGGTCCGGGACTTGTTTACCCTAAGATGGAGTGGGTAGAGTTCGTGTATGCCGTGGAGAGGGGCATATTCCATTATTTTTAAAAACCCATCTTCCTTGCTGCTTGCCTCGGAGACTTGCCAGCCGAGATTNGAGGATTGGGTGCGTGTCGTCCAACAGAACACTCGCCGGTCCAGTGGGGAGGCGATGTTTACTGATTCTATGCTGAGAGATATTGTAGCAAAATTCGATTCGAAGAACGATACGAAGAACGGTCCGGGACTTGTTTACCCTAAGATGGAGTGGGTAGAGTTCGTGTATGCCGTGGAGAGGGGCATATTCCATTATTTTTAAAAACCCATCTTCCTTGCTGCTTGCCTCGGAGACTTGCCAGCCGAGATTTTCAAAGTTGAAAGCGAGGCGGAGGTCGTCAAGGAAGTATGGGGAAACTGCTGCCCCCCTGGTCCTCCTGCCATCGATCCTAGTGTATCCCAAGAGATGTTTCTTTTCGTTGTCGGAAAGTCCTCAACGTGCGAATGGGTGACTTCGCGAAGAGTGCAAAGGAGAATGCTTCCCTCAAGTTCTCGAAGGCCGCGCCTTCTTTGCGACAACAGCTGAACGCACGGGTCGGGACAAATGGAGGGGCGGGGACCGGTAGTGGCGAAACAGAGGGGGTTGCACAGGGAGGCGGGGCCGCAGGAGGGGGAGGGGGGGGGGGGGTACTCATAGTCGTGCATGCCGTAGTCGCTAGACCNATCAGTTGAAGGGGATGTCCCGGGCGGAGATTAGCGACAGGTGCACTGTAAGACAAGTTCTCGTGCTCGTGAAGGACGCCGGGATTAAGAAGGGCACAATGAACTCAAGAAAAAATGATCTCCTCGATTACCTCGCGGCGTATGTGGGTGGGTTCGGGCAGGAATCTGTTGAAGGGGCAGGCCCCAATGCGACGGGGAGTGGTCCAGCCGAGGGAGGATGCGGGGGGCGTGGTGGTGAGAACGCGGGTGAGGGCAACGCCCGGACAGGGAGCAACGCCCCGACAGGTAGTGGGGAGAAGGTCTCTGTCGGTAGAGATTTCAAGACGTCAGAAGTGCCTGCGCAGGACGGAAGGGACGACGACGGTAACCTTTCCCGACCGGTTACAATGGATTTCTCGCTGTCGGTTTTGGAGGGAGCTGGAGTGTCTAGCGGGGGTGGCCCTTGAACAATTTTCCGAGGCAGAAGGTGAAACTTGGTCTGTCCGTGGCGTCGGCTTTCGTTTCGTCATGTTATGCCGTTCGTGGATCAGGACTACCATCTTATTTGTGTGAATGTCGAAGTTGGCGTGGACGATTCTTCTAGCCACTAGGAGCGCCGGCGTGTTGCGCACCTATGCCGCGAAATAGCCTTTCTCGAAGTACGAGTTTTGTGCATGGGTGTAAACACTGGTCGTTCCCCCTAGCCGGAGCCATGTCAGTCAGCGGGGATCAGCCGAGAGCGTTGCAGTGGCGAGGTGGGGTTGAACTGCGTCCAGTTATTACTTGGTGTAAATTGACAAGGAGAGCATGCAGTAACCATCCTGAATGTCTTCAACACCGGTAAACCAGTTTGACCTGAAGTAGCTACCTTCCTAACGATCGAGACATATCATCCTCAAGGCTGTGTTAGTGAAGAATCCGAAGTCGGTCCGATACGTGTCCACCCCAAACAATCGACAGGACTATTGACAAAAACAGAGAAGATATAGGGGGGACAAGCAACAGAGAGGCTTCGTCCGTGAGCATCAAACACCCGATAATTTAGGTGGAGGGAGATGTGACGAACATCAAATGAAAAAAAGGACAAGATAGAAAACTTCCAACAACACGAAACTAGAAAGATACAAAACTCTCGACTACGGGAGCAATACGCTTGCGGGTTTTGCGTGGCAGGGAAGCCAAACTCACACGTGCTTCGAACACTGTTGGGGCGAGTCTCCCACCCCGATAAAAGAAAATATAAAATAGGACCCGGCTCGGCTCGACAAGGGGGGCACCAGACTCGCTCCTCTCTACCTATCTCTTGTATGTGCGTGGGCAAGCCCAGGGCTTCCGCAAAGCTATATGACATGGCACGCTGGGATTACTCCTATTGCTGATTCCCGGAGGGAACTACCTGCAGTCTTCTAGCTTTCTCTCTCTTCATCTCTCTCCTACGTCTACTTGACCTAAAACAGCCAACGCTACCTTATTCCCTTCTAAGTCTCGAGGGTTACTGGTATGGGTTGAAGACTACGGGTGTCTGGCCCGCAGGGGCTGCTGTCGACTCCTGGGATGCACTACCCCCTACCACAGGGTCCGCGTGGGGTTTGTCAATGCTGATGTACCGCGGGAACATCACAGCTGAGGCAGGGTTCTTCGAGGGCGCCCGCATCGTAGCAGACCGCTCGGCGTCGGTCACTGGGAGTATGATCCGTCCCCGGATCCCGGACGCGATGAAGTCCTCCCCTTTCCGCGCATTCTGATTGTGCTTTGCGCGGGAAACCCCGTGCAAACTGCGTTGCAGGTCCCCTCGTTCTGCCCGTTCCTTCGCTTCCGCACATGTCGGGTTGCTGTGCGACCCAAGACCTTGGTGCATGTGCCCGTACCGGTGTTCCTCGATATCCTGTGGGGAAGGGGGCGTACTCTTATGTTTTGCATGCCTTAGCGGTAGCGGTTAGACCATTGACCACGCGTCCTCGAGAGGACGGAGCATTGTTCCCACAGGATCGATCACCGATGGCCAATCGTTCCTTTCTACTTTGCCAAAGGTGGCTCAAAAATGTCTTCCCTAGTCTGTCTATCCTAACGATATCCCTTCCCGCCTTTTCAACCCACTTCGAATACCCCAGTACAGCTACCGTCCTTTCCTCTCTATTCCATGCCTCAAACATCTCCCTGTACGTTCCATCTATTTTTCCCAGCTCAGTCACGTACACTTCCCTCTCCTTCTTGTACAACGGACATTCCGCGACTACATGAACACGGTCTTCGCATTCGAAGCCGCAATCACATTTGAACTCGTCGTCTTCCTCGTCTACCGTCCTATGTCTTCGTCGACGTTGCTCGAAGCCTATGTCCCCGGTCCTGAATTCGACCTTAAGCTTTGTTCCTGCATCCATTGGTCCATGTAGGTAGTCCTTGAACCCTATTCCTTCCTTCAACATTCCGTACACTTCTAGACCCTCCTTATCCTTGGATTTTTTCCTTAGATTCTGTTCTGCTCTCTCGACACAAGCAACATGTATTTTCTCCTTGAACCCCTGTAGACCCTCCGTTTCCAGCGTTTCATCTTCGTCGATGTCGAGCCCCTTCCATACGTCCTCTACAACCTTGACCCATTCCGTGGGTTGTCTACCCCTCTTTTTGTTTGCCCACTTTGCCTTCCATACAATTCTCGGCAACCTCTCCTCGCCCATCCCACACATGCGATACTGCCATGTCAGCTTCCTCGCGTCTCTTCCCGACCGTAGGGATTGGATCCCCAATTCTGCCCT